GTGCTACCATATGCTGTGCTATAGGCACAATAAAAATCTCCTCTATATATGAATAAAGCAAATGACATCCCAAAAAAAGGTAGAACTAAATCTTGGTGAATACATCGACATAAATAAGTGTTTTTTACACCCTGCAATCTTCAAGGCAATAAAAAAACACTGATTCCTAAAGCTAAAATGTTTACCCAAGCAACAGTAATATGTCGAGCTATAAAGACACTAAGCCAAGTTAAATAATGACACTCTAGGAAAAAAAAAAACACAAGTCAAATAATGATCTAAACATTTTAATGATATTGCAAAAAAAAAAAATCAAATACTTAAAATTCATCCCAACTTCCCTAGATTCATAAACTCTGTATGTGTAGAACAAACTAACAAAAAAAGAAACTGAACTCCCGTTTAAAAGTACCAACAACCAGAGATCTTTAAAAAAAGACATCTCTGAAAAAATTACAACAATGATAGATAATTTTTGGATGGTAAAAAAAAAATTTATTGAAGAAAAAAGAAAGATCAAGGAGGGGAGATATTCAAAATAAAAAGAAAAAATAGCAGTAAGAGAAAATAGAGCGAAATACCTGAGCAAGAAGATGAAACCGCTACCATGCGAACCTGCAAATCCAAACAATAGAAGAAAAGACGGTAGCAACAAAATAGATGGTAAATAGATACTTTCATAAAAGGATAAAAAATAAAAATCTATACAGAGAAAGATTGTAAAAATAAAAATAAAAATGAAAGTTGAGGTAATTAAGAGAGAAAACCAAAGAGAAATACCCTTTAACTTGTAAGAAGAAGACCAACATGTGACCTCTATTTTGTCTTGCACTGTTATTTAATATTCAATTAAAGAAGAAAGAGAAGAAGTGAAAAACAGAGAAAGAGGAAGGAAGGGGGAAAGAACCTGAGAAGAAAGGAAGAAAGCGACGGAGCAAAAGCAAGAAACACAATGAGCGGCGCAAGCGAAGACTCTCAAGAACCCTATCTATCCAAGAAGGAGGTGAAATCTCAATTTTGTCCTCAACTCAATTCGCTCAATTAATTGGAGACGACCACCAATTGACCAATGACGAAGCGCCACGTCAGCAATTGAAACTCAATTGCAAACTTCCCCATTCCCCAATAGACTAGATATGTTAATAAGCTTTGAAATATAAAAAAAAAAAAAAAATTGGAAAGCTATGTTGGGTTTTTGTAGAAGAAAATAACAGTGCAACAGTGATACTAATAATAATCGTTTGGCAAACAGTGCCTGAGCACTCGTTAAGAGCCTGGTTTGTTTGGATTGCTTCATATTACCCCAATTTTATTTGCTTACATCATCTTTACAATTTCCAATACACCTTTTTATCTTCCCAATATCTTTTTATCTTACATACATCACATCACAAAAAGTGCTACAGTAAAAATATCACAAATAATCCCAAATAACTTACAATCCAAACAGAACAAAATTTTGTTTTTTGCCAATAATTAATTAAGAAAAAATATCTAATGTACGGATACAATGAATAGAAGTATGTCCGTTTACATGACAAGTTATATGTAGGGTCCGTTTGTTTCGGGTGAAAATATTTTCCAGGAAAATATTTTCCTAATTTTCCGTGTTTGGTTGCACAAAAGTTACTGAAAATATTTTCCTATGTAAAATATTTTCACTCATCTTATGGAAAACAACTTCCCTTCCAAACTTACTGAAGTTGTTTTCCGAAATGCATGCATCCCGCCTGTAGTATGTTCCAAACTTACTGAAAACATCTTGTAGTATATTCTTTTTTTTTTTTTAGTGTAAACAGGAGAATTCGAATCCAAGATCTCTTCCTTACATTCCCTCCCTGGTACCACCCAACCCTCCCCCTAGTATATTCAAAATAAAAAAAAAACCTCATCCTGCTCATCCTATGCTAGTAATTAATTATATATAATAGAGACATTCTTTTCTAGAGAAACTTTCAGTAGTGAGAGTGCAAGATATATGTCACAATAAGCATTGCATGTGATTGATATTTGACACTAAATGGCCAGCAATTTGTTTATTGCTTAAGGAGATATTTTTTATTCATCTATACATTTCTCCAAGATTTTTTAAAGTTAAACAATGAGATAAATTTTCTTATTTTGCATGGGAAGAAGTATGTAGTTATAATGTGTAGAAAGTAAAGATAGAGATAAAAGTGAAAATATTTCAAAAGTTAAACAAACACCAGAAAAATGAAGTAAGAAAATATTTTCAATAAGCTAACCAAACACCTGAAAATGATGAAAGGGAAATGATTTTCATGGAAAATTACTTTCACGGAAAATATTTTCCCAAGGAAAACATTTTACTTCCAACCAAACAGACCCGTAATTTAAATATATTAACAAATGCTCGCTAGTCACCATTAAAAATTATTATTACCATTTTTTTTGTCATTAGTATTAGGAACCCTCCTCAATTATAATATGTGAATTTGCCAGCCGCCAAATTGGAAGGATTCCAACCAATATGTGAAGGGGCCACTGGATGAATTTTGAAGCATCTGAACCAAAAAAAAAGGTACACTAGGAGCAGTATGACGCGAATAGAAGAAAGATTAACACAGTTTGTCACCTGCAAGTCCTTTTACTTTTTTGAAATCTCTTTATTAATACAACTAGAGGTGGCAAAATGGGCGGGATAGGTGGGATTTGCTTGGATTTGAGATAGAACTGAATCATATGGGTTTGGACCCAATCTTACCCATATGTGTTTTGGGACAAACTTGGGCGGGATCACTTTAGGATGAGTTTAGATTGATCCCGCCTAATACCCAAAACTATTTTCTACATATTTTTTCCCTCTAATTCATTTTTTATTTTTTTTATATAACTTTAATATTTTTGATTTATTAAATTTCTTTTAGTTTTATCAAATAAACATGCAAAGTGCTTTATACTCAGGATTCCCACGAAAAATTGGATTAACAAATAAAAGGAAAAGATAGCTATACAGTCATATTCCAACACATATCAAGATGACCAAGGCACTTAGGGTGTTGAATATTTATCCACATCATTGTCCAAGGATGACAAGTTTAAACTGACTGAAATGCTTGAAATTCTTGTGGATAATGATTAGGAAGATTGCTAGATTATATTTGCTGGTATGACTATAAAAATTGTTAAAGATAATTTTTGAGTCTAAGACTCTGTTTGGATTGGCTATTTTTTCAAAAAATAAGTTTTTCAAATACAATGTTACAGTAATATACAATAACTCAAAAAACATCCCATCCATATTAATATATCAAATATTTCAAAAAAAATTTATATTAAAAATTTTTCATATATAATGCTACAATAAAATATTTCAAAAACATCCCAAAAAACAGTTAATCCGAACGGAGCCCTTGCTATTTGAGCCCAATGGGTACCCAAGTATTTTCCAAAATTTTCCATCAATTAATAGGTACACAGTTTCTCTTTTCTTTCGCATTGGATGCTGTCTATGCAATGGCGTGAATCATTTCCTGATGCGTCTATTTCAAGTCATATGCGCCTAGATGTACAGGAGTAACTTACCGGAGAGAAAAGGAATAAATTTTAGTTAGAAGAACATTGGCATAACAAATAACGTAATATATGATATTAATTAAACTTTCGTTGTTTAAATAAAAAAAACCAAATTACATTGCATAAATGCTGTAAACCAACCTTACCTATATATTTTCCATCGCAATAGGTCAACTATATAATATTTAATTTTTTAACATTTTTTTTGTTGGTTTTATAGTTTCTTCCATTTCTTTACATCCTTTGCTTGATAATTCACCAAAGCTTCTTTACCTGCCCAGAGGCCCCAGTCAAAAGAAAGGGTGAGAACTGGAAAAACGAATGTACCATTCATTCTGGTCAATTCCAAAAAAAAAAAAAAAAAAATGGAGCAAATGTGCTTTTATTCTGTCCGTTGTCTCTAAAGTTCACTGCACAATTAGTAAAGACGTCAATACTGCAGTTTAGAGACAATGATCACATAAATTAAGCACAATTTAATCTTTGTACACCCAAATAATCTTTTTGTCACTGAGAGAAATTTTAACTTATGTCGCACAATATTCTTCATAGATCTACATCTTTTTTTGGGTTCCACGTATACGGGACATTAATTCATTAGCTAATACTAAATCATATGTGATTTCCTCAATCGGTACCGTTTTCACAAGAAAGCTCACTAACAAGTAGGCAAACGATAATTAAGATAATAAGAACTGTTCTGATTATGTTGGAATAACTCATCATCTTTTTCACCAATCTTTTCATTATCCATAAACGACAAGAACACTAAAAAGACAAAAATAAAAAGAGAAAGATATAAAGAAGATGCCCTGCCCTGATTAGGCAGTGACCAGACAAAATTAAAGGCACTAGTGGCCTTCAACATTAATTCGTCATCATTGGAGAGTACTTTTGTCTTTGGAAGACTCAAGAGATCATTACTAACAATTTCACAGGAGTTGGAAGTACTTTTGATTCCAGCATGTAACACAAGGAATGCCCACTTTGTTTAGATATAAATTAGTCTAAAACTTGAGCCTCGATTATCACAAGTAAATTAAAGAAAGGCTGATCATAGCAAATTAAAGATGGCGGACCTCGTGGTGGGCGACACTTTGCGTGCTGAGATGGCGGCCGACCCCATGTTCGATAAGCTCCGCGGCGAAAGATTTCGTATGATGAAACAAGGTAAGAAGTTTTTATTTTTATTTTTTGGCGCTTTGTTAGAGTATCATAAATGAAAGCTTCATAAATTTATTCATTCAGCTGACCTGTCAAAGTTTTGATTGCTAATCAGGTGTTTGTAAATTTTCGTTAGTCTATACCGCATCCGATCATAACCTTGTGCTCTTATATTTATTTTTTGGACTTGGAGTGAGAAATGGAATAGAAACCTAGGCCCCACCTTTCTTTAATTGTGGCTTATTGGCAAATCCTATTTAATTGAGTTCAAACTCCGCAAAACTTCTGGAGAAAGATAGGCTCAGCCATACTTTTTAAGGCCGGAATACAGATCATTTTAGGTATTAGCGTTCGTAAATTAATCTTGCATAAGATATTATTATAAAGAGTAATGATACTCAGAAATTTGTGCATCTTTCTTGGAGTTTCATGTCGATGCATAAAATTTTCGGTTCTTCATGCTAAAAAATTTCATGTCAATGCATAAAATTGGCACCCACAATATTGGTGGCAGTCGGCGAAGCAGCAAGGGAAGGGGATCAGCAAATTGCTAAAGCTGTTACAACCAAGCTCCCACAACTCTACAGAGCAGCAATGGAAGGAAATTGGGAAGTTGCTTGTAGTGAATTTCGTTCCAATCAAAATGCAAAGACAGCAAAAATCTCCAACCTTGGCATGACAGCCCTTCATGTGGCAGCTAGCTGTGGCCAGTCGGAGTTTGTGCAGAAGCTTGTGGAGAAGTTAGCTAAGAAGCACCTGGCAAAGTTGCAGCTTGAAGCCAGAGACCAACTTGGCCGAACTGCTCTTCATCACGTGGCCTTAGCTGCAGATGTGGACGCTGCCAAAGCAATGGTGAACGAGAACCCAATTTTGCCTTATTTTGGGGATGTGAACAAACATACTCCCCTCTTCTATGCTGCTAAATGGCGGAAACCGTCAGAAAGCAAGAGAATGGTGGAATATCTCTACCGAGTTAGTCGGGACGAAGATTTGCTTCGTGACCATGTGAGAAGTGATCTTTGCAATGCCTTCACGGATGCTTCAGCTCCCGATCTCATTGTGGCAATCACTGCTTCGGGGTCATATGGTGAGCCTGGCCGCCGTACAGATAAGCTTTATACATATATGTGTGGCAATCTTATGAAGTTATTGTGCAAAATTTCTAATTCATAATAACATTTTTTTGAAAAAAAAATCCTTCAATTTTTAATTAGAGGAGAAAATATAGGTTAATTTCCAGGACATGGGGTGGTGGCGCTCCCTGCCCCAATTTCCATCCTTGCCTCTAAGATAACGAAAACATTTTGTAAAAACTCAAATGCCTCTGTAAAAAACCAAAGAATCTAAAATAGATTTCTTTTACAGATGCTGCTTTGCGTATCCTTGAGAGATATCCGGAGTTAGCTCTTAAAAAAAATGACAAAGGAACGTCCATACTTCATGTACTTGCAATGAAGCCTAAAGCATTCCGGAGAGGAAATGAACTTTCTCCATTGAGATCCTGGATCTATGATTGTAAGTACTTCGTTTCGAATCTTCATCCTTAGAATTTCTTGTTCGCTTAAGGTATATTCTGCATATGATATTTCATTTTGCTTAGACAGCGTGTCTATATATACAATATACATATACATTTATATATTTACACACACAATCTTTAACTCTTAAGTATATGCTTTTTTAAGTAAAATTTGCGACGTAAAAGTTATTTCTTTCATTTCCAGCTCATTACTGTAGTGGAGGATTTCTATCTTTCTTGTAAAAAAAAAGTGCATTGATATGCGATAGGTAGTTCTTCAGTTTATTAGTTCCAATTTTTGTGATTTTATTCTAATTCTCCGTTAATCTTTAGTGGTACCAGTTGACGACGAGGAAACAGAACACGAAGATTCAACAAGTGATGTTGCTAACAGCAAGAATCGATGCTCAGCAGCTTCGTTCTTTAAATATTTGGGCAAGTTCATTAAAGGTTTGGAAATTTTGTGTCTACTTTATCTCCGTTTATTAATCTAATTCGACATTGGGGGAAATGAAACAATAACGAATATTAGTTCATTATACTCCTAATTTGGATGGCTAAAATGTTTGTTTAGGGTTAATTACATCTACATCCTGTGAGGTTTAACCAAATTGTGTATCTAAATTATGTTTACCTCCCCTAATATTTTTCCATCCGATAAAATGAGCCTCATAATATGTCCAAATTTGTCCAAAATTTTAAAATGAATAACTTCTATTAAATAAGAGTAAATCTTCCCTACACTATTAGTGTAAACTTGTTTTACACTAGTGGTCCATGATATTGTGCCACCTCACCAATAGAATTTGGTAATCCCTTATAACCAGTTGACTATCTTATCAAAATTATTTAATTAAAAAAAAACATAGAATTCTATGATGTCTCAAACAATTTCTTCTCCTCCTTCACTTTTCTGCCTCAACCGTCTCACTACCACTATTTTTCTTGCTCTTCCCAAACATCCAATAGGCCTGAAGCAATGTCCTTTTGCAATCAAAATATACCTAATAAAACCTCCCATTAAATTTGGACTAAATTGAAGTTTTGAATTGGATGTAAAGAAACAAAATTTTCCTTTATGTTGACATGGATTTGAGGTTTGGATTGGGAAATGTGACTTTGTTTTCAAGCTATGTAAAATATATTCCAAAGAATTTGGGTGTAAAGAAACCTAATAGATGAATGTAAAATTTCAAAATTGAAATGCCGGGGTTCTTGAAAATCTTCCCAATTTTATTTTTTTTTAAGTGAGAAGTCTTAAATTCAGGACCTTCTACTTAGAATTCCTTTCACTTTACCACCTAACCCAACCCTTCTCCCTATTCTCCCCAACTTAATATATAACAATCCATTGATGTAAAGAAATTTGACAGGTCTGCCAATCAGGGTCAATAGACATCCATCTGTGTAAATAGCCATTTTTTATTCCTTTAGGAGGGTTAACTTGCCCCCTATTTTTATGAAATTTGGAGGAGATTAGGATATTGTAACTAGATGTGAAAAAAGAAAAAATTTAGTGATTATGTAGTGTTCAAATTGGTGGAAATGATTTGGTTTCCAAGCAAGAAGAAGAGAACAAGAAGGATAGAGAGAGTCAGAGGTCTTTCTTGAAGAAACCTTTGTCAATCGCCTACACCATTGATTAGGAGAGTTCCAGATGATATTAAATTGAAAGTTAACTAGCTAATTGTTTTATTTAATATCAGTCTTCACTCTTTGTTTAATAGAAATGGATAAAACAGGTTATCCACTCTCATTATTGAGATGGCGCAATATTAGTGAGCCATCAGTGTAAAAACGTCTTACATTGATGGTGTAAGAAAAATTTGATCAATCTTTTTTTTTTTTCTGACCATTCTTTTGTCTCTCTAAAAGATAGCAATTAATTTAATGAAAATTCTAATCATATGGCATTAGAAACAATACTTGTTTGCTCTTCGGTGTAGTTTCTTTAGTCATCACTGTTAGATTTTTACATAAAAGCCCTTTTTCCATGTTATTGTGCAAAATAATCAAAACTCTAGTTTTGAAAAGAGAGAATTAACTATTGCTTTTAAATCCACATTTTTACATAAATGCCCTTTTCCATGTCATTGTGCAAATAATCAAACTCTGGTTTTTGAAAAGAAAGAATTCATTAATTTTAAATCCACATTTAAGCATTAAATTTTAAGGTTTCTATACAAAGCCAATCATTTAAATCTGCATTAAAGGTCTAACAAAGACACTTATCTAGAACTATATTGAACATTATGTTATGGATAGAAAACCATAAACATAGCTAAATTTTATTATCATGCACCAAATTATCATTTCCTAGCCTTTTTTGGCCAAATTCTGCAGTAGAATAGCAGACTACACAAACTTAGCATCTCAAATGATTTTTTGGGTGAAATTCTACCACTGGATGGTGATAGCCAGCGGTGGCAAAAACCGCTATACAGAGAAAATAGAAGAAAGTGGAAACAGAAAAAATAAATGAAATAGAAATGCAGAGAAAGGAAGAAGAAAAATAAAAAGAAAAATAAATTAAAGAATAAAAAGGAAGAAGTGAGAAAAACAGAGGAAACAAAAAAGTCGCGATTTTGATTGAAATTCTCGATTTAAAAAAAAATTTAAAAATATTCTCGATTTTGATTTTTAATTTACAGTTAATGAATACTTAGTTCAATGAAGCCCATCGAACACTCTTAGATCAAATCACAAAAAATTAAGTAATGGACCATTATTCTTAAAATATTTTTCCAAATAATCTTCAACACAATTGTAAAACTCGTGCGTGCTTACGTTACTTGTCGCAGGAATAAGGCAGATGTCTGAAATGAAGCAAAGCCACCTGCGTGCAGTTAGACTTGTAAAGTTTGTATGTGATGAGTTACAAAAGAAAGAGAGAGAGGAAGAAATGGACTCTGCTCAGGATTTCTTCATCCCTGAGAATAGCACTGCAATCCTGCACTTAGCGGTGGAGCATGGAGTATTTGAACTTGTAGAACAGTGTCTAAAAGTTTTTCCTGATCTAATTTGGTATGCAGACAAACCCCGCAAAAGTGTGCCGTGGCGTCATGCTCATTATACAAGCACAGTCAAAGGAAGTTTGGTGTGGAATGATGCCACTCAACATGCAGACACAGCCACCGCAAGTTCGAATCCGCCTGGTACTAAATATACAGACGCAACCTCTGGACAGTGGCATGAGGGTCAATATGCCGACATAGCCACCCGCACTGGACGTTTGTTGTTGCATGTAGCTATTGAGCATCGTCGAGTGCAGATATTTAATTACATGATCACTTACATTGGAAAAAATACTAAGGCGTATGCCGATTTAAAACTTGAAGGGAATAACAATTCTCTTCATTTGGCAGCAAAATTGGCTCCTACACCTCAACTCCAGGCTGTCCCGGGTCCTGCATTTCAGATGCAGCGAGAATTCCAATGGTTTAGGGTAAGTAATGCAATGTTTTTGTAATTCTATCTCAAAACCGTCTGCAAGATACTCTTTTACTTTTCATATAAGATGCATGTGTACTTAGACACACCCCTTTAACTTTTAGGCACCCATCACATTTCTAAACAGTTTTAGATTTTTTTTTTTGGGGTCACGCTTTTAGTAATACATCACTGAATTTTGGTCCATGTTTTAGAGTGATACTTGTCCCGATGAACCCCTGAATTTTGAGATAAAAGGACAAGTAGTGTTTCCTCGAAATAACATGATGGCTGACCCAAAAAGCATGATAGCTGACCCAAAACTTTAACTTAACATCATGGCCATAATTTTTTGCATTTTGGTTTATGATGGTATTTTTTCTACAAAATTAATTCCCTAGTATTAGCAAATGAAGTGCATCAACCTAGATAAGTCCTTTGATTAACTGCATGCAGGCTGTGGAAGAATTAGTTTATGATGAGTTAAAGACGGAAAAGAACTTAGACGACAAAACACCTCAAGAATTATTCTTTGATGCCCATCAAGAGTTGCTAAAGAATGCGAAGGAATGGATGAAGGACACATCAAACTCGTGTACGGTGGTAGGTGCTCTGGTAGCAACAGTTTCATTTGCTGCTGTTATCACCGTACCCGGTGGCAATGATAATGCCACGGGCATTGCAGTTCTTGCAAGGAATAAATTGTTCATGGTATTTTTAGTATCAAACTCAATATCCTTGGCAAACTCTGCAGCTTCTCTACTTATGTTCCTTTCGGTTCAAACATCGCGATATTCAGAAGAAGATTTTCTGGAGTCACTTCCCCAGACTTTTGTCAGAGGTCTATTTATCTTGTTTATTGCTATAGTCACAATGATGATATCTTTTGGCACAGCAATTGGACTGTCGCTTCAATCAAGCTTTAAGTGGGCTCACATTGCCACCTTTATCGTGGCCTGTTTCCCTGCCATCATCTTGGGCATGTCGCACCTTCCTTTGCTTCTCCAACCGGCCGCTGGACGAGCCATTTTTCGGGGACAAAGGGATCGCGAGCCTTGGTGCATCAAGAAAATTGGCTGCAGTCTTTTGGCATATGACAGGGTTTGACCTCCTTCCACAATAGTTGTTTGCGTGAGAATATCCTCTTTTTTCTTGTACTCTCAAAATTTTAATTTCACCTTGCGAGTTTCTTGTTTACGTGCTCATTTCTTGTTCAACGTCATTAAGCGAACCTAGTTAAATTCAATGGCCATCAATTATTCATAAATTTTAAGAAAAATACAGACCAGCAATCCTAAGCAAAATTGGCTCCTACACCTCAACTCCAATCTGTCCCAGGTCCTGCATTTCAGATGCAGTGAGAATTACAATAGGTAAATGTAATCCTAAGCAACGTTTTTTTTCATAATTCTATCTCAAACCGTGTATAAAATACTCTTAATTTATTTTACATATAAAATGCGATGCGTGTCTACTTAACATAACCTTTTTCCTTTTTCTTTTCGGCACCCATCACATTTCTAAATAGTTTTGGACTTTTTGTTACACTTTTAGTAATACGCTTATTTTACTCCGGATTTTTCAATGATAGTTATCCTAATGGCCCTGCCGAATTTTGAAACAAAGGGACAAATAGTGTTACCTAAAAATAAAATGCATTGTTTAGGATAGATCCAAAACTTTATTTAACTTGATTTCCATATTTTCTCATTTTGGTCTGTGATGGTAGTTTTGCTAAAATTTGATTGATTGCCTAGCACTAGCAAATTAATGAAGTGCATCAACCTAGATGCAAACCCTGATTAACTGCATGCAGGCCGTGGAAGCATTAGTCTATAAACGAGTCAAGATGGAAAAGAACGCAGGTGGAAAATGCCTCGAAAATTATTTTTGGATGAGCATAAATATTTGCTAACTAATGCAAAGGAATTATTAAAGGATATGTCAAATTCATCACACGGCTAGTCCATAAGAATTCGAGGATGACTTCAACGTCAACGTACTCTTAGGTATGGCAACATACCTTCTGTTTTAGTATGGCAACATTGGAGGGCAACTCGACATTGCCGGGCAACTTTTTTCTTTATGTCGACAACAAAAATCTAACACGCAAAATCCGTTAATTACTTTCGGAACTAAACAACACCCGCTTAAAAGTTAAAATTCTGTGTCATATATTTCACTGTCACAAAACTTAACATGTTTAGATAGATAAATATAGCAGATTATGCTGTTCTTCAGATTATAAAACAGCATAAAAGTAATTTTGTGACTGTCCCTTGGAAAAGTCATAAAAATGTTCAAAACCTTTTCAACCATAAGACCTAAAACCATAGGGAGAACGTAAGATGCTAGATTGTAGATCACTCTGGAAGAAAAGTAACAAAGGAACAATTACCCAGGAAGTCATATTAAAAAAAATCGTTTATCAGTGCAAGTAATCAACTCAACTGCACATTTAGCAAGCATAACTGCTAGGATTCGAGCAAAAGGACTTGAGAAAAACTTCTCCAGTGTCTTTTCATCAGTAGTCATGCTTATTGGCACTTGTTCTAATGCCTATTCTTGTTTATGGGAGTTGCCAGGATATTCTGACTTCCATAGATGCAGAGTTATCAGGCTTCATCACTTAACATGATCCACTCAAACGCTGAAGGATGCATCACGATGATTTGTCAACCCTTTCTTTTCTCTTCAACTGTGTTCTCTATGTTGGAAAAGGCGGCCCGAACAATGCTAACACTTGAATACTTGAGTCGTGCTTGAAAGCACTGTCCTAAGAAACTATTTCAGAGTATCGAAATGTTTCCCCAGGATTAAACAAGTCTTCCTCTATTTTGTGAGAGGGATGTAGAACCAGCAAAACTTGTTCCAAAACCAGCAGATAAAATAAAAAGAAAAAATAGAGGAGAAGAAAGAGAGAGTTCACGAACAGGAAAGCAAATAGAGGAGAAGGAATAGGGAGTTCACGAAGTGTGGTCTTCGTTGATCAGCGTACCAATGAACCTGACAAATGGTTCTATTTATAGGCTTCACGGTATAGGATATGAAGAGGATAGAATGTGAAAAGCTGATTTTCCGCACGAATGGCATGCAAAACTGTTGCGCAACTTAAGTCTGAAGTAGTCATAGGTCTATTCTCTGTTGGCAGTAGTTGGAATGGGTCAAACCATCAGGAAGGCTATTGACCGAAAGATCAAGACGTCTCACAATCTTGAATTTGGCTTTTAGCCCTTTTACCAAAATCTTATCTTTGAAGATTTCTTCCTCAAAATAGGAACAAACATTTCTGATGAAATTTTATCAGATAAGACCGCAACAAACATGAAAAAATCTTTTGGAATATCTATTTTTACAACAATCTCCCACCTATTTCAAAAGATTTTAGACAAAAGAGTATGAACATCTGCTGGATTTGTCTGAGCTTAATGTAATCAGTTTGGTGTCTTTTGGACTATGAACCAAACTTAAATTGATAAAATATGTCTTACAGAATTATTGGTGAAAAATATCTTTCTATGAACCAATAATTCTTGTTGTATGACAGAGATCTTATCAATCACATTCCAACCCATAATTTTGCTGTTCAATGTAGTTTTGCGCATTTTGGCCGTGCGCTGGCTATTCATGAGAGCTCTAAAGATTTGGTCAAAAAATCTTATAGGAGCGGCCCCACTCCACTCTCATATAGGTGAATTTATCAAGTGTATACTGCTATAGATACATCTCCCTAAAGAGATATAAATTCATTAAGAGTATTAAACTTAGCCTCACGATTGCTAGCAGTTAAAGCACTCATCTCAGAAGGGACTTGTGTTTGAAGTGCTTTTACAGTCAATATTGACTTGTTATTACCTATATGAACCTACTTCATGGGATCACTAGTCACACAGGTTGGGTTACTGTCTCTATTGACAACCGTTGGCCCAAGTCCCATCTCCCTTGTAGTTTGAAGAATTAATTTTCTTCCTACAGGTTTAGTCAGAGGATCGGCCAAATTCAACTCTGACTTCACAAAATCAATGGAAATAATTCCATTTCTAAGCAGCTGCTTTACGACATCATGTCTCAATCTCATGTGTTGACTTTTACAATTATAAGATTTATTTTTTGCAATAGCAATTGCCGCTTGACAATCACAGTGTATAGACACAGGATGCAACGGTTCTTTAATAGGAGGAATATTGGCTAAGAAATTTCTTAACCAATCTGCCTCAGAACAAGTCAACTCCAGAGCTATGAACTCCGATTCCATAGTTGACCGAGCAATGATTGTCTGTCTGGCTGACTTCCATGCTACTACACCACCACTAAGGGTGAACACATAACCACTAGTGGATTTTGTATCATTTGAATCAAAGATCCAATTAACATCACTGTAACCCTCTAATACAGTGGGAAATCCACTATACAGGATACCAAAATTCATGGTACCTCTCAAATATTTCATTAGTCTGACTAATGCAAAAAAATGCTCACGATTGGGATTGTGAGTATATCTACTCAGTCTACATACAGCATAAGCTATATCCGGTCTAGTGAAATTCATCAGATGCATCAGACTCCCAATAATCTGAGCATATTTAGACTGAGCAATTGGGTCACCATTATTTTTCTTTAACTGAGTGTTAGCGTCATAAGGAGTACTAACAGGTGTCACATCATAATTTTCAAACTTCCTAAGAAGTCTCTCTGTATAATGTTCTTGTGTCAACATTATACCATCACCTTTCCTTATGATTTTAACACCCAATATCATTTTGGCTTCACCCATATCTTTCATATCAAAATTAGAAGACAAAAAATATTTAGTACTATTTACAATATCTAGACTAGTACCAAATATAAGCATGTCATCTACATACAAACTGATTATCACATATTGATCATTCATAACTTTGACATATACACATTTATCCACTTCTACAGATGAGAATCCGTCTTTCATCAAGACTTGATCAAATTTCTCATGCCACTGTTTAGGAGCTTGTTTTAGGCCATAAAGAGATTTAATTAGTTTACAAACCTTATTTTCTTGTCCAGATACAATACATCCCTCAGATTGAAACATATAAATTTCTTCCTCTAAATCACCATTTAAAAAGGCTGTTTTGACATCCATTTGATGAATAACAAACTTATGAATAGAAGCTAAAGCAAATAAAACTCGAATAGACGCAATTCTTGTTACTGGTGCAAATGTATCAAAATAGTCAATATTTTGTTTTTGAGAAAATCCTTTTGCTACTAAACGAGCTTTGTACTTTTCTATAGAACCATCAAAGTTGTATTTTCTTTTAAAAATCCATTTGCAACCAATAGGTTTTGCACCAGGAGGTAAATCTACCAAAATCCAAGTTTTATTTGACAAGATAGAATCAATTTCAGATTTAATTGCTTCTTTCCAAAATTTACAATCAGGGGAAGAAATAGCATCGGAATATGTTAAAGGATCATTATCAACAAGAAAAGTTTGAAAATCATTTCCATAAGAAAATTCTTTTCTTGGCCTTTTACTCCTTCTTAATTCCTCATTCGAAATTATTTCTCTATTTATTTCAACAGGTGCATGAGAAATTTTACTAGACAATGGAAAAATATGTTCAAAGAATTCAGCATTCTTTGTCTCAATAATTGTATTACAATCAAGCACATCACTTTTTAAAACGAGAAATCTATATGCAGCACTATGTTCAGCATATCCAATAAACATACAATCAGAAGTTTTAGAGCCTATTTTTCTTTTCTTAGGTTCAGGCAACAAGACTTTAGCAAGACACCCCCAAACTTTTAAATATTTCAAATTTGATTTATAATTTTTCCATAACTCATAAGGTGTTTTGCCAGTCCTTTTATGTGGGATTCTATTTTGTAAGTGACATGCAGATAATATAGTTTCTCCCCATAAATTATCTGGAGCATGAGAACTAATTAACATAGAGTTCATCATTTCTTTTAACGTTCTATTTTTTCTTTCAGCTACTCCGTTAGATTCTGGTGAATAAGGTGGAGTTATTTCATGTATTATGCCTTCTTGTTCACAAAGGTTATCTAAAGTTAAGTATTCTCCACCCCTATCTGATCTAATTCTTTTTATCCTTTTATTAAGTTGATTTTCTACTTCAGACTTATAGGATAAAAAGGCATTATAAGTATCATCTTTATTTCTAAGTAAATAAACTTTGGTATATCTAGAATAGTCATC